GAAAGATCAATCCAGTACTTTCCAAGAAATATCGGTAACAAACTTTTACTTTCAAACATTCTAAAGCCCTTTCAACAGGTAACATTCTTCAGACCTTTCGACAGGTAACATTCTTAAGACCTTTCAACAGGTAACATTATTTATACCTTTCAACAGGTAACATTCCTTAGACCTTTAACAGGTAACATTCTTAAGACCTTTCAACAAGTAACATTCTATAGACCTTTCAACAGGTAACATTCCTTAGACCTTTAACAGGTAACATTCTTAAGACCTTTCAACAGGTTACATTCTTAAGACCTTTCAATAAGTAACATTCTTAAGACCTTTCAATAAGTAACATTCTTAAGACCTTTCTACACGTAACATTATTTAGACCTTTAACAGGTTACATTCTTAAGACCTTTCTACAGGTAACATTCCTTAGACCTTTCAACAGGTAACATTCCTTACACCTTTCAACAGGTAACATTCTTAAGACCTTTCAATAAGTAACATTCTTAAGACCTTTCAATAAGTAACATTCTTAAGACCTTTCTACACGTAACATTATTTAGACCTTTAACAGCTTACATTCTTACGACCTTTCAACAGGTAACATTCTATAGACCTTTCAACAGGTAACATTATTTAGACCTTTAACAGGTAACATTCTTACGACCTTTCAACAGGTAACATTCTTAAGACCTTTCTACAGGTTACATTCTTACGACCTTTCAACAGGTTACATGAAAATACTTCGTATTTAAACATATAGGGTCTTTATATTATGTGTATAAACATGTACATTTGTATTTAATACAGCTGTATTTAGAGATGCAATATACTTGATGCTTAAATGTGTAAATACAGTTATCAAATCTGTATAATGAGTTTATAAACCTGTTAATATTGTATAAACATGGAACTATCGGTTGTATTGATTTGTAAATACAAATATATGAACTTTGTAAATACATGTATCAGATCTGTATGCTTTGTGTATAAACATATAATTACTGTAAATTGACATAAAAACATGTAAATACTGAGTATATAAACATGCCCTACAAGTAAAAGAACATTGTATATTATTATGTAAATACATGTACTATGTATAAATATTTACTTACAGATAGTATAGGCATGTAAACATGCAGTTTACACACAGGTAAAGGAATTTTATGTTTGGTAGTGTAAACATTAGTACACACAACTCAAATATACATTATTTTTAAAAAATATCAGTAGGTGATAAACATGAAGTAAAATCCTAATGAGCTGTTATTTACATAAGAGTATTGTAATATTTCTACTGATTGATTGGTAGGTAGGATATATCATTTGTAAAAAGGTTATACTGTTCATAGTAGGATATGCCCACCTACAACTATATACAGGGTAGGTAGGACAAACAGACAAATAGTTTGGACAAATCTATGAAAACTGATACAGGCAATTTGACCAGTTTTTTAAAATGGATTTAGGTCAATGAGTTCTAAATTAGACAGATATATATAAGACAATGTATTATAAACAATTCATATCTACAAAAGGAATGTAGACTGTAGATATTGATATATTTTTTATTTTTTTCTGAATGTGTAAACTTCATATAATTTTGAATTAAAATTGTTTCTAAGACAATAATATACACACGGTAGTTATTTCAATTTTCAAAGCATATTGTCTTCAGACAGGGATGGAATAACATGAGGAAGTTGCATTCGTCTTTTAATAAGGATTTTAGTGGCAGTAGGTGATTTTTTGACAAAAATCCTTCCATCAGCCGTCCAGTAAGTGTCAATATATTTCTTCCGTTTGGCCTGACCAAGTGATTTGATGATTGACTGACGGGTCTTTGTGAGGTCCTCAGTGATATAGATCTTCTCATGGTCATGCTTGAGACTTCGTTTGTTCCGGAAAACTTCGTTTTTCACGTTCCAGCTGCGGAAACGGCAAATGATTTGGAATTTTTCATCACGGTTTTCTCTCCCAATGATATGAGATCTGTATATATCATCTTTCTCAATTCTGACATTGAGCTTAGAATTACACATTTCCACAATTTTGGGATCTGTAAACTTTTTCTCATCCACAGTAAGCGAAACATTATGGAAAAGCAACGAATTCCGGCGGCCATATTGTTCAAGTTCCTCAACTTTCTCATCAAGCCTGCTGGATTTTTCATCAAGTGCAATACTCAAGTCATTAATTTTTTCCTCAAGAGAGGCACATTTATTAATTAGAGTGTCATTAGAGGTCTTCAGGCTAGATATACATAACTCTTGGACCTCGATTTTATACTGGAGTGGCTTCAGGAGGCTGGTCATTGTAGATTCAATAATGTCCTTTACCATGACCGACATACACGGGACGAATGCCTCCGCCCACACGGGTGCTATGGATTTAGCCAATTCCGGACTAGATAATGTTGATTTAATGATGGTGTTCATGTCAACTATTTGTCCTTTTCCGATATCTATCCTATGGATAGAACTGGGAACGGGTATCGGATTTGGCACAGAATTCCCACGGGCGTGACCTCTAGATCTATTATGTCGTTGATGGTCTGGGGCACCAGGAGAAGAATCAAATTTTCTTTTGTTGGAATATTCAGATTCCAGATCAGACATAATTGATCAATGTTTATATATAACTGTGGCAATATGTATGGTCAAAAACCCAATCAAGAGAGAGCGTATTCCAAGTACCACGTATGTCCTTGGGAAAATATGGCGGTCGGTTTTGTTTACAGTATACACATATACATGTATATGGTGTCAGGCTACAAGGTTCATAGAGTTCATAAAGCAACAAAAGCAACTTGGTATTGCTAGTTGCAACAAAAGAACATCATCGAAATCAATAACATAGTACTGTGACCTGTGTCAGCATGAAAGCTCGACAAACCTAGATCTCCGAACCAACAAGCGCTCCGGTCAAGTCGCCATCTTGTTACGTATTGAAATGGTCATACATAAATTTCATGTTTTTACAAGATGAGTTTAGATGTTTAATCAGTAATTACATGTTTATTTATAAGGTATTTACATGGTTACACAGTAATTACATGTGAATATATCAGGTATTTAAATGGTTATACATTAGTTACATGTTTATACAAGATGAATTTAGATGTTTGATCAGTAATTACATGTTTATTTATCAGGTATTTACATGGTTACACAGTAATTACATGTGAATATATCAGGTATTTACATGGTTACACAGTAATTACATGTTTATTTATCAAGTATTTACATGGTTCACAGTAATTACAAGTGAATATATCAGGTATTTGCATGGTTCACAGTAATTACATGTTTATTTATCAAGTATTTACATGGTTCACAGTAATTACATGTGAATATATCAGGTATTTACATGGTTCACAGAAATCACATGTTGATATATCAGGTATTTACATGGTTCATAGTAATTACCAGTGAATATATCAGGTATTTACATGGTTCACAGAAATCACATGTTGATATATCAGGTATTGAAATGGTCATACATAAATTTCATGTTTTTACAAGATGAGTTTAGATGTTTAATCAGTAATTACATGTTTATTTATCAGGTATTTACATGGTTACACAGCAACTGCATGTTAATACATCAGGTATTGGAATGGTTATACATTAATTTCATGTTGTTACAAGATGTATTTGGATATTTAAACAGTAATTACATGTTGAAACATCAGGTAATTAATTTGTTATCCAGTAATTGCAAGTTGATTTATGTTATATCAAATGGTTTTACAGTAATTTCATGTTTATTCATCCAATATTTACATGGTTATCCAGTAATAACATGCTGATATAGGAGGTACTCACATGATAACACAGTTACACAGTAATCACATGTTTATACATCAGGTATTTACATGGCTCTAATAGTAATGACATGTTTAAATATCAGGTATTACAGAGTAATTACATGCTTTCTTATATCAGATATTTACATGGTTACATAGTGGTTACAAGTTTACATCAAGTATTTATTGGTTAAACAGTAATTATATGTTTATACATTAGGTATTTACATGGCTGCATAGTAATTGTGTGTTAAAACACCAGGTATTTTCATGGTTACACCGTAATGACATGTTTATATGTATCAATTACTTACATGGTTACACAGTAATTTATATGTTTATCGACATATAGTGTGTAGTATACCGATAAGATATTTTTGTACATGTATTGTCATTTTGATCTATGCAATGAATTTGCATATTTTTGTACAGAGTTCCTGCTGCTGTATGTGTTTATTTTTTACATGTGTATTTTTACTTGTGTGCCTGTATGAATACTTCTGTAAATTGTCCTTATCAGTGTATAGGGTATGCATGTGTGTGTGGTTTCATGTAAGTGTGTCTGTGTGCAAGTCTGGTAATATTTCCACTTTCAGTAATATTTTCATATCTAGATGGAATCATATTATTGTACATAGAAATTCATTTTAAAGAAAGCTATATTCACTTAGTTACTAAAGAATTTTCATATTGTTTTATAGAATTATTCTATAACAAATCTAGGTACTTCACCATTTTCTATTTTTCCTCTCCATCTATCCTATTATGACATTCCACATAAGAATACTTAGGTGTTTTGTTTATGTGTCCTTTCTCTATATTTTCTTCTTTCTCACCTTTCACCTTTCCTGTCACGACCTATATATATATCATCCCTTAAGACTGAGTGTTTTGACAATTACATGTTTAATTTAACTGTGGTTTATTTGACCGATGGCCTCTCTATGTTTAAGTTATTGTTTGACGATCAAGGGTAATGATCTAGCCCAGTATTGAAAAAAAAAATCTCATTACCGCCAGCTTGATTGAAAGTTGATGCATTCTGTATAATCCCTTACCATGATATTGTATCCGAGTTGGCAAATGTGGACTTTCTTTGCCCAGCCATTATTTTTCCATCCCCGCAAATGTATTTGTAGAAATAAAAATATCTATTTTGAAGTTACGCGCGTAATGACATCGGAACCTTTCTTACCTGTTCACTGGTATAGTGCTATCCGGAACTCCTCTCCCAAAAAGTCGGAGTGACCGCCCTTGAAATGGCATGTTACTTCCGTCAAAGATAATTACATGGACGATAAAATCTCCGGTTATTGAGATGTTAATCTCATGTATACGTATTGTGAATTTCTCGTTGCCTGTAATGTTATGCACCAAATAAAAGGTAAATATACACACTACCTACGGATACATATTGTTTTACAAGGAACTTATCATAACTACTTTTTTTGAGCCAGTTTCCAAGCGAGGGGTCGATTTTTTAAAATCTGGAGTTGCTTGCCTTGTGTATTTTTAATGACCGTGGACCTCGGATTTGTCAACCGGCACATAAACTTGAATTCTGCTGATATTTCGTTTAAATAACGTCAGTCATGAGTGCTAAAACAAAAATCAATGTTTAAAAAATAATATCCTGGCCTCTAGTGTATTTTTAATGACCGTGGACCTCGGATTTGTCAACCGGCACATAAACTTGAATTCTGCTGATATTTCGTTTAAATAACGTCAGTCATGAGTGCTAAAACAAAAATCAATGTTTAAAAAATAATATCCTGGCCTCTAGTGTATTTTTAATGACCGTGGACCTCGGATTTGTCAACCGGCACATAAACTTGAATTCTGCTGATATTTCGTTTAAATAACGTCAGTCATGAGTGCTAAAACAAAAATCAATGTTTAAAAAATAATATCCTGGCCTCGAGTGTATTTTTAATGACCGTGGACCTCGGATTTGTCAACCGGCACATAAACTTGAATTCTGCTGATATTTCGTTTAAATAACGTCAGTCATGAGTGCTAAAACAAAAATCTATGTTTAAAAAATAATATCCTGGCCTCTAGTGTATTTTTAATGACCGTGGACCTCGGATTTGTCAACCGGCACATAAACTTGAATTCTGCTGATATTTCGTTTAAATAACGTCAGTCATGAGTGCTAAAACAAAAATCTATGTTTAAAAAATAATATCCTGGCCTCGAGTGCCTGTGACACATCCAGGCTCTTGTGCACCCGTCGTAGAGCTGATTTAGAATTTCGGGTGGGTGAAGTTATTTGGACGGAGATCCAGTTTCCAAGGAAGAAATACTTGTGTACTTTATATAGACCTCCGAATATCTCACACGCCTTTTGGAATCACTTTCGACTTTCTCTAGAATCCGCTTTTCATGAAACTACGCATATAGTTGTTGTTGGTGACATTAACGTTGATCTCCTGACCATAGAAAACACACATGCACTTACTGACATTGTTCACTCTTTACACCTGACCAACGTTATAGACAGCCCGACACGCATCGGACGCACGACTGCTACACTACTTGACCCAATTTTTCTCTCCGACACGTGTATTTCTAATTTTTCTGACGTAATTGACATAGATAACGGCCTTTCTGACCATAAAGCGACATCTGTTGAACCACGGACTCGTGATCAGACACACTTGCATTTCTCTTGGTCACTTACGTCGCCAGAACACTGACGTTCGTCGGCGAGACGATACCCGACAACGAGAGGAAACCAGACCCCATGAATAAGAATGGCATGTATGCATGGAAAAAAACGAGAATAAGGAAAGGAAAACATCGTAAAATTTACCTGAATATGCGTTTTGTCTGCCTGAAGAGTTGCTTTGCGCAAATGTCGATAAAGTATATTCTGAGACGTATATAATACACGTCTCTGGTATATGAGATCTTTCACGGTTACGTAACGAAGTCACATGAAATAATAGGCCACGCCTCCTGGAGGTCAAGACTAGAGGATTATGTATTTACTTGTTAGTCTATTACTTATGTCTTACCAACAGATAGTTGATTTTATTTACAATGTTACTTTTTGTATGTTTCAGACCTCCATCATTTTGGATAATAAAGTTATCTGAAAATAGTATCGGCCTACTTATCTAAAGACCTCCAGTAGCCATTACAGAATCTCGAAGAAGCTCTGCGTACCAACGGCAAGTCTGAAAACAAATAATGGTGATAACGTGTTGTGTCAGCGGTTGTTACAGCCGGCAATGTAATGATTTAAGCCTTTCCTTCCATCGTCTACCGAAATATCCGGAATAGCCTATTGCTACGGCCTTTCAGACAAAATTTACCGATCCTGGCCTTCTCATTGGCTGAAATTTCGAAAAGATATGTGGGTATTTTATTAAATTCTAAACGAAATTCTTTTGAGAGAACAACACGTGCGTGTGATAAATTAAGATCGGGCACGATGGCACTTATTCGTTCTGGGGCTCATCCTTGTGCTCTTAACCCCCTTACAGTTGCAAAATTGATAAAAATTAAAGTGTATCCATCTGCCCTATATGGATGTGAACTCTGGAATTTAACAAAAACCGAGATATTAATGTTGGAAAGAGCACAACATTTCATCGTTAAATCTATACAGGGGTTTGAAAAAAGAACAAGAACGGATGGGTGTACATCTCTTGGTTGGACCTCTATTGAGGCATATATTGACATTAAAAAATTATTATATTTTGGTAGATTGTGTAGAATGAATGTAATGTCGCTAGTTTATAAATTTTTTATTACAAGAATCTTTTTGTTTGAATTAGGTAGACCGTACCAACAAGGATTTATTCCTGACATAGTAAGGATACTGAGAAAATATTCATTGTATCACTATCTCAGCGACTTTGTTGAAACTGGAGTATTTCCAAAGAAATGTACTTGGAAATTTATTATGTATACTTCTGTAATGAAATATGAAGAACATAATTTAATTGAACTTATGAAAGATGATACTGATTTCTCAAGATTCGTTGAAATACAGGACCAGCTTAAACCTAACGTCTTATGGAAGCTAGCGCTTCAGTTTCCCCAAGACAGGGAGATTATACAATATAGAATGAAAATAGTAGTAACTATTCGAAACTTGACAACAATGGAATTATGTCATAAATGTGGGTTTCTATATCATGACCCAATAACACATTTAGTACTACAGTGTAACTATACTTCAGAGTTGAGAGATCAACTAAGGTGCTGTATAATTAATGTCAAGGATATACTGTTTAGTGTATATTTACACTCCCTATCAGACTCCGAAATGCTACATATATTGATTGGAGGAAAGGTTAACCTCAATATTAGCGAAGAAGAGTTGATCGATTTTAGATTAATATCAATCACGTACGTTTACAAAATGTGCAAATATTACTATACCTAATGTATGAATCAATTATATTAATTATGTTATAAATGAAGATATATTGTATGTGTATGACATATTTACATAATTTTGTGTAAATGTTTGGGTTCCCCAACCCCTGTGATACTGGCCCACAAAATTATCCTTCTAGTGCATACCTTACACATTACTGTATTACACAAGTGTATTAATACTTATTTATCATTATGCTGCTGATATTGTATGTCTCAAAGTGAATCCTAATTCATATGACATACACTTGACATGTGGAATTAAAACTATAACTTACTATGTATGTGTAAACTCTTCCATATATACTCTATGATAATTTATCAATTTGATGTTTCACGTGCATGTGCACCTATATATACATACATATTTATTCATTTTGCGTGTCATGGTGATATTATCTAATGCATTGGAGATCAGAAATAGTAGCAGCTGTAGTGAAAATATTGTAAATGTTGTACATATATATGGAAGTCTGGTTTAATCTCATAGAGCTATGGCTTTATAGATATAATTACTGGAAGAAAAGTCTAATCATGATACTTCAAGGAAGATAGGCATGTAAATACATTTAATGTAATTATTTACACTTTTAACTATATGAAATGCTGTGTACACCTTATCTACTTTCCTCAACCACAAATATAATTATAATAAGTAAGGACTATTACTTTGCAATACATTTAAAATAAAGAAGTAGGTATAAAGTCCTTTTCATTTGTCTAAATCCTCATATTGATAGATAGTAATTGCAACATCTTGGGTATTGCAAAGGTTTTATTTAGTCAACTTCATCATAGAGCTATTTATCATTTGGCTTGTTGGCGATAAATATATGGTTGTGTGTATTTTGTTATTTTTTTACCTATTTTGATTTGTTCAAATTATTGTCGTCAAATTTGAAATAAGAATTAAAGAATATATAAAAACGCTTAAAATTAAGAAAAATACCCTCTGGCTCTCTTATTTTATTGATTTTTGCATTCCAAAGTGTAAGAGTATGGGGAAAGTAATATAGCTTAGCGATTATTGGTAAACATTTTCCAATACGTTTAGCCTCTCAGTACTTTCAGTACTTTGATTATCATTGGTTGGTAGGCTGTTTGTTGTTGTTTTTTCACGGAAATACTAAATTATTTTTTATTATTTGTTTTCACGCCGGAGAAAATAGTAACGACTGTTATGCCTGCATTGTACAAATTTTTTAAAGGCGAAATCATGTAGGATCGAAAGCATGATTTCGATGCATACATGATCAGCTAATGATACATGGCGTCTAGGTATAGTAGCTAGCTGGGGTATCCAGGTGTACCTGCCATTACTTCCCACGGCAGGTGTCCTGCTGGAAATAACATACGTGTGCTTACTACTTAGTAAAGTAGTTTACTATATCGTGTATAATTATATTGCCTGTATAAAATATATACATGCCTATATATGAGATATAGGCTACCGATTGAAATAATTTATACACACACGCATACACATTTTGTTCACAATATTTATTTTGTTACAGGTAAGAAAAATGACTTGCCATTTTGTCCAGACTATGTAACAAGTCTACATCTTGGGGTTAAAGACAGTATGCTAATCCCATGGTTAGAACTGAACACTCCAGAGGGAAGGAAATCTCCTTGATAAAGAAAACCGAATACATGTGGCTGAAGCCCTTCTGGACCTCTCAGACATACATAACATCGCAGAAACAGAATCTACAGCAACAGAGTCTGTATGGACACCACCAATAGGTATGTTTATCAATGATTTTGTAATTTATCCCCTTTTTATGCTGATCAAATGTTCATTTGTATCTTTTTTAAGTTATGACAGTTTTGTTCCAAAACTGACAAGGGTTTAATTTACACATCAACTAATATTCAAAGATGTAACAAAATATATACAGCCTGTACATATATATGCTGTTGTAATTTTTGTCACGATATAGTAGTGTTGTATATATATTATATGTATTATTGTTCTGTCTATCATCTATGTACTATGTTCAAATGAAATTTACTTTACTTCCAAGTCCCTAAACACATGGAGATGTATTTGTGTATTTGCAGATATCCATGATACATGTTTGAAAAAAAGTTGGAAAATAAGCAACTTGGACAAGAACTGATTAGGTTGCAGACATAAAGAGATGATCTTGAAACTAAGCTCCAGCAAGTCACATTTGGAGTGAAGACTATTGAAAACAATGACAGCCGTGCATCTTTCTTCACCGGATTACCATCCTTTGCTGCCTTTTCATGTTTACTTGGATTCCGTAGATGTGTGGCTAAAATTGGAAGTCCTTTATTCAGCATATCTGACAGATGTCCTTCTGACACACTGTGACTTGGGAAGTACAGATACATGGTTCATGTGAACTTTCCAAGACAAAATTCAAGGACTTTTCAAGGCCCTATTCACCTTTTTAAAGAAATTTTTCAGAAATATTAAGTACATTTTACAATGATAAATGCAGAAAACATAACAATATGTATACCAATTTCAGATATTTTAATAAAGGTCAGAGGTTTCTTAGGGTCATCATTCATATTCAACTGTATTATACAGTTACATATGGTATACTATACCAAATCAACAGTCTTTAAGAGCATTCACTTTGCTTTCAATCAAGTCAGTTAAGATTTTGCACTGTTCAACCTTTTCCTTTGCACTCCTGCACTTCTAAGATTGCTTATTTCTTCTTCCAAAGCCTCACACTTTCTTCCCTGTTGATCAGTTGTTTTCACGTCTCTTTGTTCTGCCAGGTATAAATCATACTTCTGTCTGACTGCTCTAGCAATGGACAGTAGGTCTTTGGTAAGAGGGGCATTTAAGACCCCACCCACTTCACTCACTTAGTCACAAATCAAACGCTGGGCGACTAGGGTTTCTTGCTTCAAATTCTCCACCTCAATTTTATTATTGATGGAGAAACCTCTTTCAACTTGGGCCTGCCCATTTGACAGATTAACGTAATAACTATTTCACCACTTCAGATGTATTTGTATACTCCTGCTTCCTAGGAGTACCTAGGAACACATCTATCCCGTCTACATCCAAATACGGGTCAAAGTTTCCAATAGATGGGGTAGCCTCCAAAACGTCTTAATATTGTATGATACACAAGTCACATTCTCTTTCATTCACTCTGTTGATTGATGCCAAGTGAGTGAGAATCTTCTTCACTCTAATTGTACATGTACTTTTGTGGTGAACCATCTCTTTTGGGTTCAAATAGCTCATGTTCTTAGCAAAACTGTGATTCAGCGGACTCTTCTCAAGAAGTTTCTTCACAAGTTTAAGTACACAATTCCGGCACTTGATACGGAATTCCATGACTTGACGACTTGTACACTTTGCATCCTTCAATGCTTTTTCTGTCGAGAAACCAATTTCAACTTTTGTGTAAGGGAGATAACTCTCATCATTGTCAAGATCCAAACCAGACAAATTGCTATCTGGCAACACTTCTGGTTTAAGAACCATTCTCAACAATTTTTTTACAATATTGAAGAGTTCACAGTATAGGAAAGGTAACATTGGTTGGTTTGTTTGTTAATTTCCCAAAAATGATTGGAGATGTAAAGCCATGAAGTGAAACAAGAGGCCCAATGGGGCCTTAACGGTCACCTGAGGAATATATATCAATAATCTGGGGATTTTAAAATGTTGCAAAAATGTAACAACACTTATGCAGGACCATGTGTAAAACATCTGTACCAAGTTTGAACATGATCCACCCAATGGTTCTTGAAAGGAAGTCCATAATGTCTTAGCCAAACAGAGGCCAGGGTGGCCATCATGGATTTTGAATCGCCCCAAAAAGTTAAAACACTTGCCAGGACCTTGTGTAGAACATTCGTATCAAGTTTCCCATCACCCCCCCCCCCTCCTGGGGGTCCTATTGGGGCCGGCCCCTTTTTCTTCGCAATCTTGAAGCGCCTTCTAATGGGGATGCTTTGTGCCAAGTTTGGTCAAAATCCATCCACTGGTTATTGAGAAGTAGTCATTTAATGAAGGTTTTTACATATTGCCCATTTTACACCCCTTATGGGCCCCAAAGGGGACATTATAATTTTTTTAAACATACATTCATATGTCCTTCACTAAGGGATGCTGTCTACCAAATTTGGTTGAAATCAGTCAAAGTTGAATTTTCGACCCTTTTGAGCGCCCCCTTGTGGTGCCGTTTTTGACCCGATTTTTTTTCATTCGCAAACTTTGTAGACCTTGCCATAGGGACCTTAAATATCAAATCTGATTTTAATCTGACTTTTGGTTCATGAGAAGAAGATTTTTAAAGATTTACCTAATTTTACCCCCTTTTCCCCCTCCTGGGGCTCCTATTGGGGCCACACCCTTTTTCTTCGCAAACTTGAAGTGGCTTCCCAAGGGGATGCTTTGTGCCAAGTTTGGTCAAAATCCTTTTACATCCCTTATGGGCCCAAAAGGGGACATAATCACTTTTTCAACATAATTTCATATATCCTTCACTAAGGGATGCTTTCTACCAAATTTGGTTGAAATCGGTCAAAGTTGAATTTTGACCCTTTTGAGCGCCACCTAGTGGAGCCGTTTTTGACCCAATTTTTTTTCATTCGCAAACTTTGTAGACCTTGCCATAAGGATCCTAAATATCAAATATGAATTTAATCTGACCGTTGGTTCATGAGAAGAAGATTTTTAAAGATTTACCTAATTTTACCCCCTTTTTCCCCCTCCTGGGGTCACGCCCTTTTTCTTCGCAAACTTGAAGCGGCTTCCCATTTTGATGCTTTGGGCCAAGTTTGGTCAAAATCCATTCAGTGGTTCTTGAGAAGAAGTCGAATGTGTAAAATGTAGATTCCTATGTAACAGATAACTGCCAGCACTTGCATCTATTCTTGTTACAACATTTTCTAGCATATGAAACAACTAGGAAAGGTAGAAACAGTATCAAATCCCTCTATTATACGTTTCTTAATTTACCTGACATACTTGACATCCAAGACTTGGCTAAAAGAAGATTTAATTATGTTGCTGTGCTAGTGTCGCTTTTAGTACATTCTATATCATTACATTCGACTCGCAAAAAAATTACGGACTTGTTGCTTGAAAATTAAGAACATGTTTGATATTGTAACAGTCAAGCAACCGGGTTACGTAATAGAATTGATTTATTTACTGCTATTTATAGATGTAAGTCATAAATGTTAACGAGAAATAAACTATAGGAGTTCAATGAATTCGAGATTTGCTCTGTACTATGTATTTGAAATGGATAGAAGCATGGCCAAATTAGAGAAAAATATATCTTTAAAATGCTGTGGTTAATTAATTTCGAATCATTGTCCTTTTCCTTCGTGTAATGGATTACCTTAAGATATAGTTATCGGTAGATGTTGTAGAAATTTTAATTGCTACAGTAATAATAGATTGAACTGTTCAAATGTATTTTCAAATTTTAGATCTTCTCGCAGTTTTATTTGTTTAACCAAATCCGGATGTTTCTGTATGATACGTCCCTGATCATACCAGATATCTTCGTATACTGACTGTAGTAATGTGTGAAATCATTTAGGACATAGAGTCAGACGATGAGAAATAAGCTCGTGAAAGAGATGGCTAAAGTTCACACCTGTCCTGGTAAACCACAGGTTTTCTCAGTTGGCTTTTACTGGCTTCAAAACAACTGACCATACGCACTCACATAATAAAATGCGATGTTTTAATCAATAGATATTGTTGAACTGAATTGTAACACGTTGATGTCTATAATAATTATTGAAGGTGATTATTTTCTGTCATTTTGAGCATGGATATTTATGCTTATATACGCACTTATATGTAGGCTACAACAGATACCTATAAAACCATGGCTGTACATGTCTCCGAGTAAAACGGTAAGTCAGTATTAGTACAGAGTGTAAAAATCACTCATCCATGACTAGACCCATTTCACATGTGGGCTCTCGTGCCTACGACTCCATAGCGCTAAGGGGACGTCACAAACGGTATCCTGAGCGGTCTCCTACCAATATCTTTAGCTGAATAAAGGTTGAGCTGAAACAAACTTAAAGCAAACATTTAATAGCAAAGTATAAGAACATAGGTATACCCATTTTTTTATATATTATTTTCAAAATTAAAAAAAAAGAGAGAAATTATTTCCCGTCTTTTGTATCAGACATAGTGTTCCATACGACTATATACATACATTTGAATAGGGCACTATGACACCATTGGTAATTAATTAATCAGAAATTTGATTTCAACTTTGGAAATGGACACAAGTAGCAGTAAACTAAAGGCACAACAGCCTGCCGCCCCGCAAGCCCCGCCCTACACCGCAGCCTCTCTTTTATTTTGAGATACAGATTACATGTGCAAATTAGCCCCACTTTTTTACATTTAGATGCTAACCTTGCCAGTTCTGCTTTGTTCTTTAGATCAAAAAGTAGGACACCATATATTGTGATACCAACATGTATCAGTCATAAACCATATGTATTTAGCTGGTACATTGTATATCATAACATATTTGTTTACAGCCATGGCGGAAGTACACAGATGCTAAAGAACGGAATGTTATTGGTCTAACATCTCCCGATTTCAGAGGTGACAGATTTCTTATTCCAAACCATCTTTTGTCCATGTACATAGTAGATATATCTATCGAACGGAACAGATACAATAAAGCAAAAATGTTATTGGGATGTTTTACCTTGCAAGGGACCTATGACTTTTAGGGAATTTTGTAACAACTGAAAAAAAACACCAAGCGAAATTACTGTCCGCTTTATACAATGAGAAACATAAACGATAACCGATAACGTCATTCGTAAAGTACCAGAGTTACCGATAACATGGATGGTGAAGTGCAAACTGCATTATTATCTTCACGCTTATCCAGCAGTCTGAACTGCCTCTCTGAGAGATACGCAATTCATTTTACCTATTAAAACTGACCGAGACTTTGTTATTGCTATCTATTACCATTACCAGCGTATATTAAGCTACTAATATACATTCTGCCGAGATGCATTCAGACTGATCGAAAATGTCATCTCACGTACAGTTCGACAGTCTGTCAAAAATTAAACCGTATTCACTACCCGGTGGTGTACATTTGATTATCTGTTGCAACCAAGATTAAGTGACGGTAGACATCAGATAAACACACCATGAAAATACCAATATGGCAACATAATCATAATAAGAAGTGAAATTCCATAAAACAAGGGCAAACTATGAAAAGATTTACACGAGAATTATACCAGGTGTTCCGGAAGAGTAAGCGTTATCTGCTTCATCGACCAACTAACACACTATTTCATACCATGAAACAGAATTATGGAATTTTGATAGACAGCGAATGATAGATCGTAGACTGTGGGGAGAGGAGACAGAAAAAACAAGAAGCCGGCACCGTTAAATGTTACTTTTGTGAGACTGATCATCCTAGGCTACTGGTGTGAGACTGATCATCCTAGGCTACTGGTGTGAGACTGATCATCCTAGGCTACTGGTGTGAGACTGATCATCCTAGGCTACTGGTGTGAGACTGATCACCCTAGGCTACTGGTGTGAGACTGATCACCCTAGGCTACTGGTGTGAGATTGGTCATACTAGTTACTGGTGTGAGACTGATCATCCTAGGCTACTGGTGTGAGACTGATCATCCTAGGCTACTGGTGTGAGACTGATCATCCTAGGCTACTGGTGTGAGACTGATCATCCTAGGTTACTGGTGTGAGACTGATCATCCTAGGCTACTGGTGTGAGATTGGTCATCCTAGACTACTGGTGTGAGATTGGTCATACTAGTTACTGATGTGAGACTGATCACCCTAGACTACTGGTGTGAGATTGGTCATACTAGACTACTGGTGTGAGACTGATCACCCTAGACTACTGATGTGAGACTGATCATCCTAGGCTACTGTTGTAAATTGGTCATACTAGTTACTGGTGTGAGATTGGTCATACTAGTTACTGATGAGAGATTGGTCATCCTTGGCTACTGGTGTGAGACTGATCACCCTAGGCTACTGGTGTGAGACTGATCATCCTAGGCTACTGGTGTGAGACTGATCATCCTAGGCTACTGGTGAGAGATTGGTCATCCTCGACTACTGGTGTGAGATTGGTCATACTAGTTACTGTTGCGAGATTGGTCATCCTAGGGTAATGGTGTGAGATTGGTCATACTAGTTACTGGTGTGAGATTGATCACCCTAGACTACTGGTGTGAGACTGATCACCCTAGGCTACTGGCGTGAGACTGATCATCCTAGGCTACTGGTGAGAGACTGATCATCCTAGGCTACTGGTGTGAGACTGATCACCCTAGGCTACTGGTGTGAGATTGGTCATACTAGTTACTGATGAGAGATTGGTCATCCTAGTTACTGATGTGAGACCGATCATCCTAGGCTACTGGTGTGAGACTGATCATCCTAGGCTACTGGTGTGAGACTGATCATCCTAGGCTACTGGTGAGAGATTGGTCATACTAGTTACTGTTGCGAGATTGGTCATCCTAGGCTACTGGTGTGAGATTGGTCATACTAGTTACTGGTGTGAGATTGGTCACCCTAGACTACTGGTGTGAGATTGGTCATCCTAGGCTACTGGTGCGAGACTGATCACCCTAGGCTACTGGTGTGAGACAGATCACCCTAGGCTACTGGTGTGAGATTGGCCATACTAGTTATTGATGTGAGACTGATCACCCTAGGCTACTGGTGTGAGACTGATCATCCTAGGCTACTGGTGTGAGACTGATCATCCTAGGCTACTGGTGTGAGACTGATCATCCTAGGCTACTGGTGTGAGACTGATCATCCTAGGCTACTGGTGTGAGATTGGTCACCCTAGACTACTGGTGTGAGATTGGTCATCCTAGGCTACTGGTGTGAGACTGATCATCCTTGGCTACTGGTGTGAGACTGATCACCCTAGACTACTGGTGTGAGACTGATCATCCTAGGCTACTGGTGTGAGACTGATCATCCTAGACTACTGGTGTGAGACTGATCATCCTTGGCTACTGGTGTGAGACTGATCATCCTAGGCTACTGGTGTGAGACTGATCATCCTAGGCTACTGGTGTGAGACTGATCATCCTAGGCTACTGGTGTGAGACTGATCACCCTATACTACTGGTGTGAGATTGGTCATCCTTGGCTACTGGTGTGAGACTGATCATCCTAGGCTACTGGTGTGAGACTGATCATCCTAGGCTACTGGTGTGAGACTGATCATGAGACTGATCATCCTTGGCTACTGGTGTGAGACTGATCATCCTAGGCTACTGGTGAGAGATTGGTCATCCTATACTACTGGTGTGAGATTGGTCATACTAGTTACTGGTGTGAGACTGATCATCCTAGGCTACTGGTGCGAGACTGATCATCCTAGGCTAATGTTGAGAGATTATGTAGTACTGTGTACAAGATATCTGATGTATTTATGTAGTACTGTGTACAATGTACTTTGGTGTATTTATGTAGTACTGTGTACAAGCTACTCTGTATTATGTAGATTTGTGTACAATGTACTTTGATGTATTTTTGTAGTATTGTGTACAAGGTACTTTGATGTATTATTGTGTACAAGCTACTCTGTATTATGTAGATTTGTGTACAAGGTACTCTATATTTATGTAGTACTGTATACAAGGTATTTGATGTATTTATGCAGTACTGTTTTGATGTATTTATGTAGTACTGTATACAATGTACTTTGATGTATTTATGTAGTACTGTGTACAATGTACTTTGATGTATTAATGTAGTACTGTGTACAAGGCACTTTGATGTATTTATATAATATTGTATACAAGGTACTTTGATGTATTTATGTAGAATTGTGTACAAGGTACTTTGATGTATTTATGTAGTATTGTGTACAAGGTACTTTGATGTATTTATGTAGTACTGTGTACAAGGTACTCTGATGTATTTATGTAGTACTGTGTACAAGGTACTCTGTATTTATGTAGATTTGTGTACGAGGTACTCTGATGTATTTATGTAGTACTGTGTACAAGGTACTCTGATGTATTTATGTAGTATTGTGAACAGGGAGCTTTAATTTATTGAATGAGTCATAATAGCAGCAAAATGTAATTGAATTAACATTTTAATAGTGACATAAGATTTTTTAACATGTATAGACTACATGTAAAATATTCAGCTATAGAACTAAAACCTCAATACTATATCAGTCTTACTTCCATCATTTCACTATAACAACACATTGACATGCAATGTCTCAATATTCTCTTATGTATACGATCGTGACATGTTCATTCCGATCAGTCACTCTGAAATTGTGCACCTTACCTTGAAAATGATTTTTACTTCTAGTAAACTTTACTGTGCACTTCCCCATGAGAGTGATTTATTCTATAGAGTGCTTTACTTCTGATCATAACTTAATTCTGAGTCACTCCTTTACTGTGCAGCTCATTCTGATAGCGATTTACTTCTTATAATAACTGACTCCTGAGTCAATCCTTTACTGTGTATCTCACGCTGATAGTGAATTACTCCTGAGTCAATCCTCCTCTGTGTATCTCGCCCTGATAGTGATTTATTCCTGAGTCAATCCTTTACTGTGTATCTCACCCTGATAGTTAATTACTCCTGAGTCAATCCTCTACTGTGTATCTCACCCTGATAGTGATTTACTCCTGAGTCAATCCTTTACTGTGTATCTCACCCTGATAGTTAATTACTCCTGAGTCAATCCTCTACTGTGTATCTCACCCTGATAGTGATTTACTCCTGAGTCAATCCTCTACTGTGTATCTCACCCTGAAAGTGATTTACTCCTGAGTCAATCCTCTACTGTGTATCTCACCCTGATAGTTAATTACTCCTGAGTCAATCCTCTACTGTGTATCTCACCCTGATAGTGATTTACTCCTGAGTCAATCCTCTACTGTGTATCTCACTCTGAAAGTGATTTACTCCTGAGTCAATCCTCTACTGTGTATCTCACCCTGATAGTGATTTACTCCTGAGTCAATCCTCTACTGTGTATCTCACCCTGATAGTGATTTACTCCTGAGTCAATCCTTTACTGTGTATCTCACCCTGATAGCGATTTACTCCCGAGTCAATCCTTTACTCTGTTCTCTCTGCATCTGACCTTCAGAATGTGTGTTGTAATGAATCTTAAGGACTATTGACTGATTAAAACTTTTACCACAAACATCACACCTGTATGGCATCATCCCTGCATGGATCGATTGATGTTTCTGAAGATTAGATAGCTTAGTAAAGCTCTTCCCACAGATATCACACATCAGTGGTTTACCTCCTAGATGTTCCCTTTGGTGTGTTGCTAGAGCACTTGCCTCTTTAAAAATGTCACCACAAATATCACATTTATGTTGTATGGCTTCTATGTGTATCTTAAAGTGTCTCTTTAGTCCGTACGGCTGTCGAAACCCCTCGCCACAGACATCACACGAGTATGGTTTTTCTCCAGTGTGTATCATTTTATGTGTACGCAAGCCATTTGCTTGAATAAATACCTTACCACAAACATCACACTCATGTGAATATTCTCCAGTATGAACCTTAAAATGTCTCCCTAGATTCTGTGTTGTAGTAAACCTCTTTCCACAGATATCACACTCATGTGGCTTTTCTCCAGTGTGCTTGAGTTGGTGTGCTTTAAGAGTAGACACCATACCAAATCCTTTACCACAAACAGGACAGTTGTACGGCCTCTCACCAGTATGTACCTTTTGGTGAGTCTTGAGGTTAGCCAGCTGACTAAAGTCTTTACCACATATGTCACACTTGAAGGGTTTTTCTCCAGTGTGTATCAGGGAATGGGTACGAAGATTGGAGGCCTGAGTGAATCCCTTACCACAGACATTACATTTGTACGGTTTCTCCCCTGTATGTGACCTAAGATGTCTCTTTAGATCTTCTGTAGTTCGTGTCTGTCTACCACAGATGTCACACTCATAGGGTTTCTCTCCGGTATGTATCATACGGTGAGTGTTGACAGCTGCAGTCTTTTTGAATACTTTACCACATATATCACATTTAAAGGATTTCTTATGAATGTTATTAAACATGTGAAGTTGAAACTTTTCTTCATTCCTAAAATTTTTATTACAGATTTCACAGGTATATGTAATGCCTGTGTGTATCTTGTAGTGTCGAATTAGACCATCTTTCCGTCGAAACTCCCTACCACACACATCACATTGATAAAATTTGTCTCCTGCAAGCTTTATCTTCTCTATCAGTAGGTCAATCGCAGATTTTTTTTCGTTTTCAGAAATCAAATCAGAATTAATTTTCACCACTGTGTTATCCATTTCTATCTTTACACTCACTAAATGTGCCGGACTCTCATCAGAATCAGATCTATTACACTCACTAAATGTGCCTGACTCTCATCAGAATTAGATCTATTACACTCACTAAATGTGCTGGACTCTCATCAGAATCAGATCTATTACACTCACTAAATGTGCCTGACTCTCATCAGAATCAGATCTATTACACTCACTAAATGTGCCTGACTCTCATCAGAATCAGATCTATTACACTCACTAAATGTGCCTGTCTCCCATCAGAATCAGATCTATTACACTCACTAAATGTGCCTGACTCTCATCAGAATCAGAATCACTAAATCTATTACACTCACTAAATGTGCTGATCTCTCATCAGAATCAGATCTATTACTAAACATCAGAATCAGATCTATTACACTCACTAAATGTGCCTCACTCTCATCAGAATCAGATCTATTACACTCACTAAATGTGCTGGACTCTCATCAGAATCAGATCTATTACACTCACTAAATGTGCCTGACTCTCATCAGAATCAGATCTATTACACTCACTAAATGTGCCTGACTCTCATCAGAATCAGATCTATTACACTCACTAAATGTGCCGGACTCTCATCAGAATCATATTGATAATATTTCTTTGATAGTAGCCTCATGACAATGTGGTTCCAAAGCTCTGTGATTCTGAATTCCCATGAAAATGTTTTAAGGTAGCAATTGTCTTTTCATATTTTCTGAAAAAGAAATAAAGCATTGGAATTAGATAAAATTCCACAAGGTACAGACATAAATTTATAATCAGAAAAGGTACAAGAATGAAAATTTGACAAATATCAACTTTCAATTTGTTGAACGATGAGCTGAAGGGAGGTAACCCCCAGACCATCTGATTCTATTGTAATGGTTGAACTGTTTTGTAATTCAACCATCTCTTATGTTTTATATACACATAACTACAAGAGGCCCAGGGTCAGGTCACCCGAGTAAACTCACAGACTGAAACAATTGGAATGAATACACAGTATAGAGAAGAGAAAATGAGAAATGCTATTTGTACAGGGATAGAAGTGTTTTATTTTCCTACCTATCTCTCCATCAAGAGTTTTTGACTTTACAATACCTGGGTATTGAGACAAGTTTTGAAATTTCCATCAGTCTGTTCTTTTGTTACCATGCCCGTCAACCCCTGTGGGTCAGTCAGAGAAAAGCACCTTAAGACCCTTCCATCACGTAAAGAGTATTTCTTTCTATCATGTTATGGTACTGAGGAGAAGATTTTTTAATGTTCAGTAAATATGACCCATTTTGCCTATACCCATCAGCCCCTCAGGATCTGCCAAGGTCAATGTGTGCATGACATCAAATTGTCATCCAATCCTAACAATACTAACCAAATTTTATCTCTTTTGAATAGAAAATATTCAAATTATATTCAAAAATGCCTTTTTCTATATTGAATATAGTAAACTTTACCCCTCTCCAGGGGGCAATGTGAGACCCTGGGGTCATGAAATTTACAGTTTTTGTAAAGCAACTTAAGACCCTTTCATCCACGAAGAGTATTATTGAAAAGAAGATTTTTGAAATTTCAGTCAATTTGACTATTTTTGGCCCTGGCACTCAGGCCCCTGTGGGGTGGAAACCAACCATATAATTTACAGTTTGATTAACCTTCGGCCATGGAAGCGTTCAGGGGTTTTCTAGAAGAAGTAAAAACTTTGTCTCAGGTGACCTAAAAAGTACTATAATGGATGCAACTACCTTTTCATTTTTTTCCAATTTTTTAAACCTAGACAGATTCCTAACGGCATTTTCCACATATCGTGTCCATAAGCCCTTTAACCTTGCATGATAGCAAGTTAAGCAAGTAGACTTTGCCAATCCATCGAAAATAATCACATTTTTTTATCACAGATTGCAGTCATATCTTGATGTGATCACATGAAAGTGAGATATATCACATCATGTCAAGGTTTCAGGAATGTTAATATAAGGGAGGTAACTCTAACAGAAAACAGTATGTAGGTAATGAGTGCATAATTGTCAACAAAACACTGTCAAACTCACATATTTCTATCTTTTAATTTACACCAATTGGGAATGTGCTTAACTTTTCTTTGTTTTATGTTTAGGCCTTGTTTCAATTCATTCAGTAATTACACATACGTTTGTGTGCAAATGCTACACTCTTGTTTGACATGGCATAATAACCAATGCAAAATTGTACAATTTTACACAAAAAGTGAATAATCAGTTCCCATGCCTTTCGTATGAGCCACAAAATTTACCGCCTCCATTGACAATATTACAAAAATTTAACTTTATATTTGCCTTAAATGCTCCCAATTAACAGCTATACATCCAAGGTCAATGAAGAAGACAGTGATATAAATTGTTGATTTAGCACAAAGTTAGAAAACAGAAATTAATATTTTTCATTTCAACACCAACTTATAATATTATCTATTTTACAGAAAAGGCTATTCCACACCTGTGATGCCTCAAAACAGAAAGACTTCTTTCCATACCTGGTGATCCTGACATGTGGGACTGAACTGTGTTTTCTCTCCTGAAATAATATTTGGAAGATTTGAAATTCACAAGATCTGAAATGTGTTGTAGAGAGAGACTACTTGAAATCTTAAAAACTTCCTTAGCTAAAGTTTTGATATGTCTTCCATGGAGATATGTACATTTGTTGTTTTTTCTTAGAAGAACTTTCAAAGGACTACTGAAATCATTTACAATAAACCTGACTGCCCGTTCTTGTATCTTCTCAAGCTTTCTAGTATTTTTCTGGTTACAAAAATGCCATGTAAGTGGACAACAATTAAAATTTGAACAGACTCAAAAATAGTTATCTTGTGTGACTTAGTAAGGTTACCATCGATTCTCTAACATATTCACAATTGTTTGGATGCTTTCACATGTACAAAATATTCACATTTAACTTCATGGCAACCAATATTAAAAGAAGAGGTAAAATAAAGATTGGAATTTAGTAGGATTAGTTTGCATACCATTATCATTTAACCATTCAAATATATTTTGCCTTTCACTTTCTAGTACATTAGAGAGGCTAACAGGATCATCATTGATAGGAGAACAAAAAGTTGTCATCAGTGTAATTATACAGAGTACAGCACACAACATTATAAAAGATGTCATTAATAAAAATGTTGAACAAATGAAGGCCAACAATTCACTCCAAAGTTACCCCTGTTGATCAAATGCTTCCAGCAACTGACAGAGGGCCCAAGACCAGTCCACTGGAGCAGGTTGCTGAAATAGCTGCAGACCAGATCAACGCATGTGCTGTTCAGCCCATAGACCCTCAGCTTCTCCAGCAACAGTCCATAGGGTAAGCAGTCAAAAGCCTTGGACAAGATGTTTGTTGTCATCCAAGGCATGACACCAGTCCTCCAGTAGTCGTAGAAGAGTGGTATTACACCCAAAGCCCTTCCTGAAAGCAATAGAAAAAGATTAAAAACGGGTCAAAGAATGAGGAGAGTTGGTCATGAATAACTCTCTCAAAAACTTTGGATAAAGCAAACAAAACACTGACAAGTCTATAATTCTCCTTATCTAAAAGATTTTTTTAAAATAGGAACTACATGGACTTGCTTAAATCTATTAGGATAAGTCTTCTTCGAAAAGACAAAAATAACGTCTTTGAGAGGCAACACTAAAGAATCCGAGCCCAGTGTAAGAATTTTGGCTGATATGCTGTGCACACCAGTGGAATTTTTACTGTCAAACCAATTAATAACCTTGGCAAAAGTGGATGATGCATTATGATTAAAACTAAAAGGATTCACAGGAACATGGTTCTGTTTAATAGAGTCTAGGTTATGGTATCTAGAGAAGTGTACACTACCAACAACACCTTTACCAATATACCGCTTGAAGCATTTGCACAAAAGTAGTTTACAATATTACAAACCTCAGTTTGATCAGTCAATCATGTCTCTGAAATGAATCAAATGTCACCTGCTATTAGTGAAGTATTTTAAAATGTTGAATATTAATTCAACCACAGATCGCGTTTACAGAACCATACCCAGTCTTCGTTCCAGGCTAAACGGATGTAAATAAAGCGAGAAAGGGTACGGCGATTGACAGGATCAGGCAGTATCGGGAAGAACCGGACGGAAACAGACAGGACCGACGTTCAACGTTCTTTATTTATTAATTTTGTGACTTGATATCTATGTTTTCAATGGCTTGAATTGGCCATGTAACATAAAGATGGAGGATTTCGACATTTATTAATTAATTAATTCATTCATTCATTCATTTTATTGACTTTTGGCCTTCCGGCCCATCAGTACAATGCATATACATACAAATCATGAATATTGGCACGACACACAGTGCTACAGTGGAGAGAGTAGTATATCATTAGTATGAAAGAAGAAGACATTAATTTCTCAACTTGTTAGCTTCAACAATGTATTTACCAAACTGACATAGTTCTTTTGTATTCCTAGTACTTAATAATTGTAAAAACTTAAACATTGATGGTCTCTTCCAATAATATTTCTTTATATATAGTGTTCTTAAATTTTGATATGACTGACATATTAAAACAAAATGATACTCATCTTCAACTTCATTACTTGAATTACATAATCTACAATATAGCAATATTTCGGTATCTGCCTGTCTCGATCGCTCAGGAATGTGCAGACAAACGTTATTTTGGTAAATTTATTCTTAATTTCTTAGGAATATATCTTGTTAAGTAAAACTGTATGGATAAATTGTCTACCAGGTGTTTATAAAGGAAACATTTGGATGAAGCTTCTAGCAAGCCTCTTAAGTGTTGTTGGCCTTGATCAATAATTCTTTGACGAATAAGAGGTAAAATGAAATTAATATTGAATGGAGATTGGGCTAACCAAACACCACCAAAACCTAAGGAAACCAATTCATCTGTTACATAATGTAACCAATTAAAACAGGTACCTGTGGATCTGTCTCGTAAAAATTCATATGCACAATTCAAAATACAATTTTTGGTATCAAGCAACTTAAACCAATACTTGATAATTCAATATTTTCTCATGTACTCTAAGGGCAGACGCCCAAGTTCACAATAAACCATAACATTGCATGTTGTTTTTTTTACTTTAAGAACTTTCTTACAAAAATTTAAGTGAATTTTCTCTTTATGTAGTGCCTTTATGGATCCCCATACTTCACATGCATAGAACAATATGCTACTTATATATGTGTCAAACAACCTTAACAAAGTTGTACAGTTAAGATTTAGAGTAGAACATTTCGACAACAAAGCAAACATTGCTTTAAGACCTTGTT